TTGACGACATTCGGGACAGTTATCTCTAGCGGATAGTTGTATCCAATCTTGAATACATGTTAGACAAAAACTATGTCCGCACCGGCTATTGATGACCGCTTCCCGATAGACATTCCAACATATACTGCACGTTAGGTTTGTGGCCAACAGTTGCGGTAAATCGGTAAAGTTGGCCAACTCATAGCCGGGCATTGTTTTTATTGAATGTTGATATTTAACACTTAATTATTAATATATATATTTTTTTTAAAAAAATAATTATAATTTTTTAATTATAATGTTAATACCAGTAGTAGTAGTAATAATAATAGTATTTAATAGTCAAGTGTTTAGGAAAAATACAGTAATATATTTCAAAAATAGTAATATTAATTATAAATGATAGACATATTCAAGTGTATTATATATACTGTATTTATATATATTTATACTGTATTTATATATATATACTGTATTTATATATATATACTGTATTTATATATATATACTGTATTTATATATATATATATATTGTATTGCAATAGTATTTATTATTATTTTATTTATTATATTATTGCAATAATTATTAGTAATTAAAAAATACGTTATAAAAGTGTGTTTTTGTGATATATTAATATCAATTATAATATATATATATATATACTGTACAGGTATTATCTACTGTATACTATATATTACTTACTTATATAATGGGTTGATATTACTGTATTATATTTTTTGTACATTTATTTTGTTGATGATAAGATACATGAGATTAGTTAAGTATAATATTAATAATAATATCCATTTAATGGTAATATTTTTTTTAAAAAAACTCTGATTCATTAATAAAAAAAATATTTTTATTACATTATTATATTTAATACATATACTGTATGTATAATAATAATATGATACTATAATGCATGTAAATTATAATAATAATATTAAATAATTTAGTCATAATTATTATATACACACATATAAAATATATTTATAAATTATAATTAAATACAAGTAATCAAAAATATATAACATTTAATAAATATCATAATAATAATAATAATAATATTATTATTAATTATAATATTAATTACTAACAGAGTATAGGCATAGCATAGCAAATATAATAACCAGTAATACTATTATTACGCAACAAACGGTTAAACCGATAGCTTTTTGATGTCTAAGTCTACGAACTTTTCCGACCAGTTGTCTACGATTTGATCGACTAGTTTCCAGCTCCTGTACCAACCGATCCAATCTATCCTTGACGGCTGTCAGCTCCTGTATCAACGATTGACACCGGGTTTCACTATCTCTTAGCTGTTGTCGACTGCGTTCCGTTAGATCCATATACCGGTGCCTCGAACGGCGTAACTCATCAATACAATTGTGTTGTTGAAAACTGCCTCCCGGTTCGCTGCCGTCCACCCCTCCTCCATTGCCCACTAAACTAGTGCGCACAGTTAGCCTAAGATTACACTGTCCGCACACATTATACTGACATTGTTGCTGATGTCCGGCCATTTGATGGACAGGTACTACCGTCGGACAACCCTTACAGTTGAACATACATTTGACCAGCAATTCGCTGACCATTGCGTTGACTTTGAAATTTTTCATCAGTTCATAGTCATCGCCAATAATAACCATAACATCCATATCATCTGTACTACTATTTACTGGTTGTCGGTGTTGTAACTGTTGCCTACACTCGGGACAGTTAGCCGAACCCTTCCTAATCCAGTCATCCAGACATGACCGACAAAAACTATGACCGCATCGGCCATTGATAACCGATTCGCGATATATTTGCAAACATATACTGCAGGTTAGATTGGAGGCTATACTGTCCGATAGGCCAACAAAATTAGCCAGCTCATAACCGGGCATAATTTTAATTAATTAATTAAAAATAAAATAAAAATTATATATTTTTTTGAAAGATTAAAAAAATATATATAAAATAATAAAAATGTTATAATATATTATATTTTGTTTTAAAAAATATACTGAAAAATAATAATTATTATTATACACTATCATATATATATATATATGAAATTAAATATTTAAATACATTTTTGTTGTTGTTGGTTTTAAATTTAATTATAACTTTTTTTTTAAAAAAAAATTATAATATTTTTGTTGTTATACTGTAATGTACTGTATATACAGTATACTGTAATCATCATTACCTACTAGTTTATAGATAATTATTTTTTTTTGATGTTATACGATACCTAAATATTTAGTGTATATTAATATATATATATACAGTATATTAAATAATAGTAATATTTTGCTGTATATAATATTTTTTATTTTAAAAAAAATCATTATATTTAAGGTTTTATATTACAATTTACTAATAATATACAATACTATTTAACTATACTATTATAGATGTAATCATTTTAATAATATCTATCTATCTATCTATCTATCTATCTATGATATATATATATATATATTGATATAATTATATTCATTATAAAGTAAAATATTTATACAAAAAAAATAATGAAATTAGTTTATTATAATAATTAATAATATAATAATTTTTTTCAATAATTGCATTAAAAAGTAAAACAAAAACATATTTTATTAATTAAAACAAAAATTTTCAAAAAAAACGATATAATAATAGTATATATTTTCTAATATATTTTTTTATAATAATAATAATTAATTAATTTTATTTATTTTATTACAGTTACGCCCACGTAACCCATTGGGACGAGCGGGCAGTCATCAAAATCGACATGAGCCAGCTCAAGTATGTCAAGACAATCAATCTGGCCGATTGTCAACCAATCAACGGTGTCCACACTGATCACGGCCTACTAATACTTCAATGCCAGACACCGGTTACCCATCAACTAAATGGCCAGTTGGTTGTCGACCAGATTACCGATGCACTGATATCGTACAATCCACACGTACGGGCCCAACGATCCTATCTGAGCCCTAACCAACATTTCCTGGTCAATGTCCTGCATAATGCCTCGACACCGACACCGGCCACTACTATCATTGTCCAGCGTGTTGTTACCGATGGTGGCGATGGTGGCCAGAGTACTGGTTCGGGTGGTCTAGAGTTTCTCTACGATGTCCGTACGTCGCTTAATATCGTCAACTGTGCGTTTGTCTGGCGTAACGGTAACTACGATGCCGTACTGGCCTCCGGAACGGCCAATCGCGAAGATCTATTGTATTTATCGCTGAGCGACGGTCGGGTAGAATTGATTACCGGAATCGGACGGCCGACTAACGGGTCAGTAATTTTTTTTTGGTGTTGTATTGATTATTGTATTGATGGGACAGTTATGTTAGACACAGTGATTGATTGATTGATATATAATAAAGTGTATATAGTATACAAAAAATGCCAGATATTTAAGTTATATTTTATTTTAATTTTTTTTGGATAAAAATTAATTTTTAATTATATTTTTTTGTTTTCACTTTTTTTAATTAATTAATATAATATATATAATAATTTAATTTTTATTATTACAAATATATATATATATATTTAAAATTGATAATAAATTATTTAATAATAATAATATTAAGTATTTTTGTTTTAGTTATATTTTTTTAGTATTTTATTTAGTTAATAGTTTAAAAATTAAATTAAAACAAAATTAAATGGATACTAGGTTAATTTAATTTGGGTATAATATCATTTTATTAAATATATACATATATATACAATTTATTGGACCATATATACAATATATATATATATATATATATATATATATATAATAATTTATGATTGATAGCCGTATTATATCATATATAGAGGACAGGGAGATGAATGTAAAATTTTATTGTATTTATTGTTGTTGATGATGATTACATACATGCCTGTCCTCTGAATCTAATCCTAACTGTGCACTGAATATCATTGATTGATTGATTGATTGATTGATTGTCTTATTTATTATTTATTTTTATATACCAAATTAGATCTCATAGAGGTATGGCATTGGCCAACAAATCCCGATTGTTGGCCGTAACGGCCACCGAAAGCGTCTATCTGGTCGACCTGAATACCAATCGCATCCAATGCGAGACAACTCAACGGCACCGGAAGCCGACAACAATGATCTGGTCATAGGATTTCATCAGTTTATTTCAAAAACAATATAAAAAAAATTATTTAGTTTTTTTGTGTCCAAAAAAAATTTTAGTCAATTTTTTTGATATAAAAAAGTCTATTTTTGTTTGTTTTTTTTTTTGAATATTTATTATCATTTAATTTGTAGTTTTTTTAATTAAATTCATTTATAATTATTATTTTTTTATTTTTTTTATCTATTTATTTGTTATAATTATCAAACAACTATAGTTAGTACTCCAAAAAAAACTAAAAAAACAAAAAAAAATATAATTTGTATATAAATTATGATTTAATTTATTATTATAATTGAAATAATGATAAACTTGAAAAATTTCAATATCATTTCAACATTATATATAAATATATATATAATTGAATAAAAAAAATAGATTATATTTACATTAATTAAATAATAATAATACGATAATACTAATTAAGTTATACGAGAAAAACATTTACAATAATAATGATAATAATTTATATAAAAATTTTTGATTTAAAAACAAAAACATAATGTTTTATTTTATACAACAATAAAAAACACATAAATAAAACACAGAATATTCTTGTGATACAACACACACACACACACACTCACAAACAATGCATACATTTATATATATATAAACTTTATTTATATATATAGAGTTATATAATCCAAAAATATAATTTGTAAAATGAAAATTAATTAATGATATAATTATATTATAATTAAAAGCAAGAAATAAAAAATTGGGATAAAATTAAGTTCATATTATAATATTAATTACTTAATATAATTAAAATTAGTGTACTATATGTTAATTAATTATTATTATAATTTTGTTTCAAACTAATGTAAAATTTTTAAACTCTAATTTATTTTAAACTTTATATTTATTAAGTTTATTATTATGATATATACACACAGTATATATATATAATATTTATATAATAATAATAATGTTTTAAATGTAATATAAGTTTTTTTAAATTGATATATAATATTCAATTTATATAATTATTTGTCGTTTTTAATTGTAATTCATATATAAATTTAAAACAAAAAAAAATGTATTACTTATTATATATATATGACAATAAATAAAAAATTATACACGTTTTTAATAAAAAAAACAAAAAATGTTTAAATTTATTTATATTTATATATAATATATATCTATAGATTAATAATACAATAACATTCAATAGATTTTTTTTATTGATAATTTATATAAAAAAATAAAATATAATAAACTAATAGCAACCAATATTTAGTGATCATAAAATATTTAATGGCCAACTACTAAAAAAAATAAAAAACCTACAAAAAAACGCAAAAAAAAAATAATTCAAATACTTATAGTATTAGCACTGGTAGTCTATGCCCATAGTCTATGCCAGCTATCATCATCTGGCAATCATATGATGATGATATTATAGTTGTAATACTAGCTATTGTATTGTCTATAATGTATAATAAAACTAAACCTGGTAGGTTAATATAAAAGTAATTGATAGCTTAATTTTTAATATTAAATAATAATTATATTTATATATATAATGATAATATTATTGATAATATCTAATTGAAATAAATATATGATTTTTAATTTTTTTTTATAAAAATTTGTTATATGATAATAATAAAATATTGTATAAAATTTATTTTGTAGCTAAATATACATAATTTCTAAAAAAAATTAAAATAAATATTATATTACAAATTACTTATTACAACTACAAAGTTTACACATTTTAATATAAAATTATTTTATATATACATAACATTATATAGTATTTTAATAGTTAGTTATTTTTTAATCATTATTTTTTTTATCATTAATACTTTTTTTTTAAAAATATACTTAAAATTTAAATTACTTGTAATATTAATACTAGTAATGTTTGAAAAAAATGTTTTAAATTTAAAACCTTTTTATACAATATTTTTTTTTGGTAGACATTTATATACACACCAACAAAGTAATAGCTAACTAAATACTCCATTACATACCTGTCCCCCATCACCACCACAACCATAAAAAAAACCTACTAATCCTACCAATCAACAATTTAAACAAATTATGTGCGGCGGCTACGATCTGGCCAGGTTTGTCAATCTACCCGCTGAGTTGGCCACTAATCTCCAATGTAGTATATGTTGCTATATATATCGGGAGCCAGTGGTCAGCCAGCGATGCGGTCATAGTTTTTGTCGGTCGTGTATTATTATTATATAAAGTTTATTATTAGTAGTACGACTAGTAGTAAGAAAAATAAGAGGAACGGTAGTACCGGTAGTACCGATAGTAGAAGTGGTTGTTGTTGTCCACAATGTCGGCTACCGTTTCAACAACGAAAACAGACGACTTTAATAGACATTGACAGACAAAACAATAGCAACAATACAACTACCGCTGCCGCCAACAATACTTCGGTAGTCATTATCGGCGACGACTATCAGCTGACCAGAAATTATGCTCTGGACTCGATTGTCGGCGAATTACTGATCAAATGCAAGTACTCGGGACTGGGCTGTCCTCAGGTGCTGCCGGTGCGCCGTATGGCCAAACACTATCGACAATGTCTGGCCGGGGTTGCTGTCCCGACTGTGGTCTCAAATTGTATGGCATCGACGACGGTATTACTGGTGACCAACATCAACAACAACAACATAACTGTATTGACCGATTGAAATCGGAACTAACCGATCAACGGGAGTATATCAAACGGTTAGAAAATAATAATAATATTATCCAACAATTGGATCCGAAAACTATATCAACATTTTTACGGCCAACCAATATATTGACCGGTTGTACCGGCTTATCGTTACTACTATCAGTTGTACTGTTAGTGGTACTACTGGCCCTGATCATATGGGCTATCTATGGCCCAATCTATCTAACTGGGTCACATTGGCTAACAATTGACATTATTTTTCTAGCTATTTGTCTGGTGATATTCAAAGCCATAGTGGAAAGCATGAAAAATAAGCCGATAGTTAATGGACAGTCATCATCGGCATCAGCAGCAGCAGCACAGGGAGCTGAAGCTAAGCTACTATCACCAACGGTACTACCCGTTTGACGTCAAATTTGATGACAATCCCTATTACTACTATTACTATACTATTTATACAAATAATTTATATTATATATAATATAATTATATATATATATAATATAATTATATATATATATAATATTAATAATTTTATGACTTATAATTTATAATTAATAACTATAGCTTAATTAGATTATATATATATATATATAATTTTCTAATAATTAAATTGTTTATAATAATGATTAATTTGTATAATTTTTATTTATAGTTGAAACAATAATTAAGCAAATATAAACATTATTATTATTATTATTATTATTTTCTAGAAACAAATAATAATAATTTTTAAAAAAAAATAAATATATCCTAATGTTTGTTTGTCGTAAATATTGTTAAAAATGTTTTTCATATGAATTCAATTATTTTGTTTAATTAAATTTGATAATTAAATTAAATTACATAAATAAATAAATAACAAATTTAATTTAATATAAAATTTAAAAAAAATTATATTAATATGATTGATAATGAGTATTTAAAAATTAATGTTTAATATAAGTTTATTTATTTATTTTTTTGTATCTATATATTTTTCAAAATTAAATAAAACTAAATTTTATAAAAAAAAGTCATTTTTTATTTGTATAAAATTCTTAATTATTATTATTTTATATAAAAATTATTATTATAAATACTTTTTATTAATACAATCAAATATCATATTTTTGGTTTATATATAATAACATAATATATATAATACATTATATATTATTTGGTATATTTGTTGTTAATTGCATTGAAATAAAAAAACAAAATTATATAGTAATATATATATATATATTGTGAACAATTTTTTAATAATAATAATAATAATAATAATAATAATAAAAGATAATCAATAAATATAATAAAATATAAATCAATAACAATAATTGATATATATATATAATAAAATACTGGGTTAACATAATTTTTTTGCAAATTTGCAATTTTTTTAAGCACCGGTATCTGTTTTTTTTGTTGTTGTTGGTGTGACTACCACTCCTCTATTATACATCTATTAGTAAATCAAATATAAAATTTTATAATATTTAAATATTTTATAACAAAACTAATGGACAACACTTTTATTATACAAATACTAAAACTAAACATTTTTGTCTAATTATTTTGCAATCAGAAAAAAAGTTATACATTTTTTTAAAGTTATTATTTCGCAATACTAATCACAATACTATTTAGTTATTTAATGATAATTATAACTAATTATAAATATTATATCCAAAAAAAAACTTCAAATGTTTTTCAAAATAAATCATTATTACCGGTAATATCAAAATAAAAGGCATTTAACGGTAAGTATGGACAGACACACACACACATACATACATACAGATATCGTATACCAATCTATACTAAATAACATATAGATAGACACACCCACACCCACCCACTCTCTATAGGGGATAAATAATTTTGCCCCAAACAACTGAATTGAAAAAATCGGACCACGAAAGTCGGGCCGCAGTACCGCCGGCGGCCACCAGCGATGAACTCTGTAGTTCATCGTTACGAGTGGACAATACTTTACTGAACGGCACTTTTTGGGTCCTCAATAGCAACTGTACGGTAGTTGGTATCGGCGGTGATGATGGTGTCGGTGGACAACGATTATCGGTAATACCCGTAGCAGCAGTAGTATCGGCGGCCGCCGCCGCTACCAAAATAGTCTCAAAGCTAACACGTGCGGCCACTTTCTTGGATCCGCCGATCCACAATAGTATCATATAGATGGGCATTGAGCTCAGGTATTCGATACCGAAATACAAGGCTCCCTGAAACGATAGGGTAACCACACGGAGGACCAGAAATACCAGATAATACATGAGTACAGTGGGCAACAGGAACAGTAAGATTGTAAACGATAGGGTACCGATAAATAGTTGGTCGTTGCCATAGGAATAGCTATCGACACGCGATCGCAGTTGATTCCATTTTTTACCGCGAAACAGACGCCACAGTGCCGATAGGCCGACCACTTGTAGGCCGTATAGTCGGGCAGCGTAACCGTAGAAACAGTAGATATGTATGGTGGCCAGTGCTACCAAATCGGATAGTACGCTCAATATACAGGTAAACCCGAGTACACCGCAATAGACCAGTGTTTCGACAATAATGGCAAACAGCGGCTTAATAATTATCATATATGTCTTCCACAGATAGATATGATACAAGAAAAACTGTCCCAAAGCTGTATTCAATGGTCGGTTGAGTTTCAGACCGGCCGGCATTCCCATCAGCAGATTCAGTAGACTCTGTACTTCGTTGACCAGATTGTCGGTACGTTTCAGGGCTACGTCCAACCAATAGGACGGACTCGAGTAGAATACGAGAAACAATGTAGTGATAATACCCAATATAATATCGATGGCCACCGATGACAATACATTGCCGACACTGACACTAATACGTTTGTGACGGAATGCTTTCAGTGCTGACCAACAATGGCGAAACTGTTGGACCCGAAAGCGTAACTGATTGCCGGTAGTGGTCATCATAACGGTGTCCAACAAAAAGTTGGTAATCTGTCGCTGATTCGGAAACCAACTCTTGTTGCGGACATGGGTTCGCTGGCGTTTCGGTCGCGTAATCTGATAGTGAAATTCGATGAACGACGCGGTCAACCGTCGGGGCAACATTAGCCTCAGATCGCCGTCGCTGACCCGTACGGGAAACGTCGTTGTTGTGGACGAAGTAGTAGTAGTACTAGTAGTGGTGTGACTATCGGACAATCGGTTAGTATTATTAGTGGACAGATATGTCTTGAATAAGTCGGATGTCTTTTTCAGCGAATCGATGATAAACTCGACGAACGGCATCCTATTTAACGGGTAAAAACGGGTGATTTAAATGGTCAGTAATGGTAAAACTATCGGTAAAATTAATTACTACTACCTGTTGTCGTAATCGTCTTCTTTGAAAAACAATTGCGAACTCATGAAGTCGCGGGTATCGTAGTGAACAAGTGTAACAACACCGGGATCTATGGGCTGGCCATTGATCAGACACGATCGTAGACTCAACTGATTGTCCATAAATCTCAGGTCACACCAAAACGGCGGATCATTGGCAGTGGCGGCTGCGGCGGTGGCCGTCGATTTCGATGTTGGATTACCGTTAATACCGTTATCATCGGTTCGCAGCTGCCGTCGGCGATGCTGTTGTTGTTGTGGCCGATGATGATGATGGTTACGATCGCCGTTGTTGTTGTGGTGGTGGTGGTGGTGGTCATCATCAGCTGATTGGTGTCCACCAGCGCTAACCGTCGCTACGGGTCGATCATCAATGGTGCCCAACACCGATATGGCCGGCGAATCATAGGTGGCCAATGTTGACAGCAACTTCAAGGATGTCATTGCCGTAATGTTGACCTGTAGTGATCTACCGTCCAGTCGATAGTAGCCGAACAGTAGGCCACGGGGTGTCCGAAACAGTTTGGTCGGTATGAATAAGTTGATCCATGCAATGTTGTCCATTATTATCGGCGGCGGCGGCGGCTGCCGAGTCCTATTGGCCAAAATTGGTGGTCAGTCACGCGCGCGCGTGTGTGTGTGTGTCAGTCCCGGTACGCGCGTGCGTGCGATTGGTGTCACTATTATTAGGATATTATAACTGTTTAACTAATAAACTGTTTGTTTGTTTGTTTGTATTGTTGTTGTTGTCATTAAAATAGTAATAATAATAATAATAATAACTAATTGTTTATGTTTTCAATTTGTATTGATTTATATTGAATTGTATTGTAATTACAAACACATGGCTTAACAACACATAAATAATAACTGTTTTATTACTGTATTATTGTTTTTATTTTGTTTTTTTTTTAATAAATAGATATATAATGTAAACAATATATACATATAAATTACGTCAATATATTGAAGTATAATGTATTCAATAATTGAAATGTTGGATGAATAGGGGGGAGGGTATAAATTATATGGACGTTATTGATGACCAGTTTTTTTATTTGACACCCAATGTATTATTGCAATTGATTTTTGATATTTTTTATTATAATAATAATTTTTAAATGCAATGTGTTTTTACAGTTGTTATGTATTTTAATACAGTATGTTATGTTAAATAATAAAATATTTTTAATAAAATAATTTTTTTTTTTAAACTATTAATTACTTTTAATAATTATTTGTCGATTTTAATATTTATTTATTTTTTTATTGACTAGTTTTTAATATATTTAATATTTTCGTTTTAAACTAAACTAAAAAATTATTATTATTACTAAATCACCATGATGATTTGACAAATATTAATAATTACATAAATTAATTAATAATAATAATTTTTATATTTAATATATTAAATTTTATTAGTGATGATGATTGTGTAAATATAAAATATAAAATATAAAAATTATATATTTAATATACATTTAGTAATATATGATATATATATATAATAATTATTATTATAAAATATTTTATTTTAAAAAAAAAGTTATTAATATATTATTAAATTGAATTGTTTTTTCTCAACAAAAAAAAAATTAAAAAAAACTTTATTTGGAAAATGCGGTTATTATAAAGTTTTGATGAGTTTTTTTTAAAAATAATCGTTTAATTTATTTAAATTATTTTTTGTTTTGTATTTCTAATATTTAAAAAACTTGTTGATCAGGTTTTTTATATTTAAAAAAACTTATGTAATGTGATATTACTTGTTATTTAATTTATTTTTGAATTATATATATATATAACAAGTGTTTATCATTAATATTATTATTAGATTTTGTGAATACTTGAAATAGTTTTTATTTTAATAGTTATTATTTTAGGCATTAAATTGTTTATCGATTTGTTGTTAAAATATTTTTATTGTCGGTATTATTATTAGTAGTATTTTTTTTATAAAACGTGTTAACTTAAACTCAATTTGATTATTATTATTATTATTTAAAAGTTTTTAATTATAATGTGATTTTTTTGTTGTAATAATTTTGATGTAATTTGAAACCAACTAATAATTTATTTAAAATTTAAAAAATATTTATATTGACAGTAATTAAGACATTTCCTGCGATATTTAAAATAAAAAAACTATTTTTGTTATTAAAATTTTAATATTTTGTGATATATTTTAACTTTTTTTTAAGAAAAAAGAGGAAAAACATAACAATATTTAACATTTAAAAATAAATCTAAATTATAATAAAGTCTTAATTTGTTTTTTTAAACAAAAATTGTTAAAAACTATTAATAATAATTAGTTAATAATAATAGGTATCATCAAAAAAAAAATTATTAACAAAATATAATTCATTAAAACTATATTACAATGAAATCAATTACCGTAAGAGCGCCGGTAAATATTGCGGTTATTAAATATTGTAAGTTATTATTATTATTATTACTTTAGTTAAAACAAATTATATTTAATTATTTTATTTAATTAATTAATTATTTATTTCCGCATAAAATAGGGGGCAAACGGGATGAGGATATTATAATACCATTGAACGACTCAATTAGCGGTACCCTATCTATAGATGATATGTGTGCCAAAACATCGGTGGCCACATCGGCCGAATTTACCGAAGATCAAATGTGGTTGAATGGCCAGAAAGTGGACATTGCGGCCAACAAACGGCTGGTCAATTGTCTTAATCAGAGTAATAATCAATTGATATAATAATAATAATGTTTTTTTATTGAGAGTTAAATAAAAACTTTTTATTTGTTTGTTTGTTGTTTAGTCCGCAAAATATCGACCGTCGACTGGATTGGCCAACGATTGCACATTTGTTCGGTAAACAATTTTCCGACGGCTGCCGGACTGGCCTCGTCGGCTGCCGGCTACGCTTGCCTTATGTATGCGTTGGCCAAACTCTACGGTATTGATTCGGCGGAACGCATATCAACGTTGGCCCGAATCGGTTCGGGCAGTGCTTGTCGATCGGTTTACGGCGGTTTTGTCCAGTGGATTGCTGGCCACGATAACGAAACATCAGTGGCCCGACAGATTGTCGACGAAAACTATTGGCCCGAAATGCGTGTACTGGTATTGGTTGTTAGGGATACGCAAAAAGATACGAGCAGTACGTCGGGTATGCAACTGACTGTCCAGACCAGTCGGCTAATGCAACAACGTTTGAAGGAAATGCCCGATAAAATCCAGGCCATGACCCGTGCTATCAAAGATCGCGACTTTCATCGGTTCGCCGAAATAGCGATACGCGAAAGTAATCAAATGCACGCCACTTGTGAGGACACATATCCGCCGCTGCAGTACATGAACGATACGTCGCGTGCGATCCGACGTTTTTGTCACAAATTTAACGACTATTATGGCCAGAATCGACTCGGCTATACCTACGATGCCGGACCCAATGCCTGTCTCTATCTATTGGCTCCGGATGTTCCCAATGTTATACAATTGTTACGCAAATGGCAACCGGATCTCATTGTCAAAGGCCAGCCAATTGATGGCCAAACTAGTGCTGCTGCTGCTGCTGATCATCAGTTAGACGACGATCTGAGCCGACACTTTGACAAAATGCCGGCCGATATTGTTAATGGTTCGCTACGCTATGTTATCAGTACACGTATCGGTTCCGGTCCTCAAGTATTAACCGATGATGACCAGTCATTGTTGGACATGTCGACGGGTTTACCGAAACAACAAAACCAATAGTGTTGTTGTTGTTGTATTGCCTAACAACTCGTTAATTGATTTAAATTACAATTGAATTTATATTAAAATTTATAATAACTTTATATATAAAAAATAATTTATACGTTAATAATAACTCTTTGATAATCAAATAAATAATAAATAAATTATTAATTTTTTAAGATTTAAATTATATAACAAAACAACAAACAATCAGTTGATATCATCATCACAATTGGTTTGTGGAGCTGGATGTCGATGTCGTCGATGATGATGATGTCGATGTCGTCGTTGTCAATGTTGATGGTATCAGACATTGTTAATAATCGGTTGCCTTTCGTTTTGTTCGAGTATTGACTGAAGATTTGAATCAAATAAATCACATCTGAAATAATGAAATATTAAAAATAAAACAATTATTATCTTATTATAAGATATCCATTAAAAAATTTTTTTTGAATCAATTGATCCCAAACCTGATGGGCATATCCAGCGAATAAAATGGATTCTTGAGGGCGTAATCGGTATATAATTCATAAATTTTTTTCAACAGCAGATCTTTGTTGGCCGGAACTGTCAGATCGCTAACAATCAAAAACTTGACACCAGTTGTCGTTTGTAAACAATTCAGACGGAAATTATTGGTTTCGAGTACTTCAATGCCCGAACTTTTCATAAATCGTTTGCTGCTATTGTTTTGATGGTGATCTTTACCGCTGCCGAGGCCACCGCCGCCGCCGCCCGAGCTTTTAGTAGCCGAACCTTTGCAGATCTGGAGGGCGGCGATGGCGTACAGCGAATGAAACATCGACGACAATACTATCTTCTCGTTAGTGGTCAGTCTCGGCAAACCAAATCTGTAATAATCGGATGAATTGGAAAACAATTATTCAATTCAATTGATCGGTCGGTCGGTCAGTCAGTTAATAGTCGGGTAAACTGTCTGTAAAAGGTTGGTTAGCGACCGACTACTATATCCCGTAGTAAACGTACTTCAAATTAATCGGATAGTTCTCTTCGTTGGCCAATATATCGTCCATTACGTCCTTGTCGTCCATTTTGCGGCCGCTCAGCGGTTGGCCATTGATGGCCAACAATGCGTAGCCGACTAAACAACAACAACAACAACAAAATTATTTGATTGATTGGACACAAAATTATCGGCGGATCTCTCTCTCTCTCCCACCGAACACTGACCTCGGATACCGTCCCGTTGGCCAAAAGTTACGGCCAGTTTTTGATGAACATAATCCAGTTTGATGTCCAACGGATAGCCGAAAGTTTTTTCGACTTCCGATGAGACAAAGTTATGCTCGCAATCGTAGTTGAAGATCAGTCCACCGCTTCGGGAGATGATATACACGCTGTAAATGCCCGGCATTTTCTACTTGTTTTGACTACTAAACCACTGGCCTCTCGGGTCCCGATGTGTTGTCCGCCGATTTGATTGACTGATTGATTGATTGATTGACCGAAAAAAAAACTAATAATCAATCAGTCATTGAATACAGTCTATCAATGTTTATATAAAGTGATAAAAGTGGGACTATTTTATATATACTAAATTATATAAGTTATTAGTAGTTCGATGGTTATACTAAATAGTACCAAATTATCAGTTAAACACAATAATAATAATAATATTTATGTAACGTTATTGTTATTATTAGGCGACAATTAAGTCCTATTTCTGACTACATTTTACTAACTATTTTACTATAGTTTTCGATATATATAAAAAAGTACTTAATCTATATAACACATGTGTTTCAATGTTATTTCAATCATTCAATTATTGACTGATTGTTTGGATTATTACTAATACCGTCGGTAATCATCCCGTGTGGCCACTAATAACCTAACAATAATGTCAAACTGGGCTCAACTACAGCAACAGCTAAGGCATCCGTCAAATCCGGTCGTATTTTTTGATATAACAATCGGCAGTACCGAAGTTGGCCGCATGAAAATGGAACTATTCTCGGATGTAGTACCGAAAACGGCCGAAAATTTCAGGTCAGTGTCTATTATACTCTGCACCCGTATGTCTGACCACTGATTTATTTTTCATTGTCTTCTAACAGACAGTTCTGTACCGGAGAGTACAAACGTGACGGCGTTCCCATTGGTTTCAAATCGGTTACATTTCATCGGGTAATCAAAGACTTTATGGTACAGTCGGGAGACTTTGTTAACGTATGTATTTGGTTTCAGTCGGCCGATCGGTCGGTTGGTTGGTTGGTTGGTTGGCCGGCCGACCATCTAGTTATAGCACTGCACCCGATAATTATTGATTGTCTTTTTCATGGCGGCTAGAATGACGGCACCGGTATTATGTCCATTTTCGGTGGCGGCAAGTTTCCCGATGAAAACTTTATGCTCAAACACGACGCTCCGGGACTACTGTCGATGGTATGCGGTATTTTGATATCCAAATTGATTGATTGATTGATTAGTTAGTATAACTATAAGTCTATAATTGAATTGTTTTTTTTGTGGTTATCTCTTATATATATATACTGTACTTCATCATTACTTTCCGTGACGTTTGTGTTGATGATGACTACCCGATACCCGATGACTACTATTACTACTTTCACCACCACTACTACTAATACTACTACCACTACTACTACTACTACTACTACTACTACTACTACCACCACCACCACTACTACTATTACTACTACTACTACTACTACTACTACTACTACTACTAYTACTACTACTACTACTACTACTACTACTACTACTACTACTACTACTACCACCACTACTACTACTACTACTACTACTACTACTACTCCACCCTAATAGGCCAACAGCGGTAAAGACACTAATGGTTGCCAATTCTTCATTACGTGCGCTAAATGCGATTTTCTTGACAACAAACACGTAGTTTTCGGTAATTTCTAAGACCTCTCTCTCTCTCTCTCTCTCTCTCTCTTTATTTGTGTTTTTTAATTGTTTTTTTTTTGTTTTATTTGTCCAATTATTATTAATAGGACGTGTAATAGACGGTATGCTTGTGATGAGAAAGATCGAAAATGTACCGACGGGTCCAAACAATAAGCCAAAGATACCGGTGCTTATCTCACAGTGCGGCGAAATGTAGTAATCGGGATGTGCGGCCACCACCACTACCACCATCACTGTCATCACCAGCTACAACAACAGCACCGGGTCTTTATATGCGCCCCCGATATGTCATAAACATTATCACATCATTACATATGTTTTTTTTAATAATAAATAATTATATACTATATATATATGTTTTTTGGTTTCATTTATCATAAACTAATTTATTATTAAATATTTTTAAATAATTTAGTTTCACATTTAAATTGTATTAAAATATTTTTTTTTAATAATAATAATGTTTAAAACAAATAAATTGTCAAATATTTTGCTAATTGTATTGTTATTGTTTGTATAGTATTTTTTTATATTAATATTTTCATTCCGTATATTTTACAAATAAATTTATAAAAAAAATTATTAATATTATCAATAGTTTTATTTTTTATTAAATATTATATTACCATATCATTAGATATAAATGATAGATTTTATTATTTATTTTATGTATATGTATAATATGTATATAATTGCAAAAATATGTATTTATATATATTACCGGTTAATATATAATAAGCTTATATAGAGTCCTAAAAGATAACTCATTTAATTAATAAATAAAAATTAATATATAGTTTATAAAGTTATCAATTATTATTTTACAGTTTTATATTTAATAAAATAACATTGATTTACACATTTGATATTTACTTTGTATAATACATATAATTTACATAATTTTTTTTGTTATTTAAATATGTATTCTACATTTAGACAGTAATTTTGAGCAGTAATTTAAAAAAATTTAAATTTAATAAAAAATAGATTTTAAGATAAAAATAATCTTAATTCATGAAAATATTATATAGTGTTAACAATTAATTTAAATTACATGATATAAATAAATTGTTTAATATCTAAAATAAATCATTAATTTTTTTTAAATTTTAAGTTTAGTAATTTTAGTAATAATTAAATAGTTACAAGTTATAATAAAATTATATATATATATACTATTTTTTTATTGGTAATTATAAATATATATTCAACAACAACAAATTATTATTATTATTATTTAATTATATAAAACCTGAAAATTTGAAATATTTTTTCTAATAATTTAAATTGTGATTCAAATTAAATAAATTAGCTAGATAATATATATATATATATAATTTTTAATTTTTAAAATATTGAATATTATGAAAATTGTCATTGTCAATTAGTTTATTATTAATATTATAATTTTAAATAATAATATTAATTATAATAATTAAGGTTATTACAACAAATATTTTTTTTGTATTAATTTACAAAATTAGCAAAAATGTAAAAATTTATTATATTTAAAAAATGTCGTAACAATAACACAATTTTTGTTGTTGTTGTAACCAATTTAGTTAATTATTAGAAATTTTAATTATTACAAAAAATAAATAATAATTATTTTTTAAAAAACTACAGTTATTTGTATTAACTGTACTGAATATTTTATTGTAATTATTTTTTTATTGAATTAAACAAATATTATTCAATCAATTAAATTATAATATATATAGTAATATAAATAATACAGTATTACGTTTAAAGTATTTATAAATATAAATAAATATATATATAATAAATAGATATTTCTATGGAAACAATACTTGTGAATAAAATGTGAATAAAAAATATTATTATTATTATTATTTTTGTGTCAATGAAATGTTTGTTTGAAAGAGAGAGAGAGAGAGAGAGAGAAATCGTTAAAAAATAGATGTATATTCAGCTGTCTATTAATATAACATTTATTATTATTATTATTATGTATACGTAATAAACACACGCAAGCTATATATATATGTATAGCTCACCACTCCCTGCCCTCCCCCTCCCTATCCCTCCCATAAAGTTGTGCCCACAAAAAAATTGTCTAAATTTTTTTTATATAAAAATGTTTATATATTTAAAATAATTTTTTTATATATAAAAAATCCTACTGTAGTGATGTCATAGACATAATTAGGCAGTTTGTCTGTCTATCTATGTGTGTGTGTGTGTGTGTGTGTGTGTTTGCGTACAATACATCCCTTTCCCCTCCAATGGGTAAACACCCTCCTCCCGGTGCAATGCCATCAACATATTATATATCATGTACTGTACTATTTCAGCTAGTATGACAATGATGATAGTCCTAATAATACCAGTGCTTGCTGATCATGATGAATCAGTTACCTAGAGTGTAGTCCAATTGTGGGCACTGGTAGTATACCATCACCACTACTACTACTACTACTACTACTACTATCTGAATCATTTTGACGACAACGACGACTACACCCGTAATTAAATTAATATCAAAAAAAATATTTCGTTGAATAGAGAGAAAACCAATTTTTGTTTTGTTTTGTTAGTTAATGTCGTTTACTTAGAGCACTGGTAGGTATTATTTAAGTAGTTTATAGTTAATGGCATTTAGTTTTTTATGTATGTTTTATATATATATATATTAGACACGCCTCGGGTTGGACTCTCTCTCTCTCTCTCTCTCTCTCTCTCTCTCTCTCTCTCTCTCTCTCTCTCTCTCTCTGACTGACTGTTTTCCTCACCACAAACACATCACATACCATACCATACCATACCTGAGCTCTACTCTAATGTAGAAACAGACTCTCTCTCTCTCTATGTATGTGTAAAACAGAGAGAGAGATAGAGATAAAAATAGAGAGAGAAATAGAGGGAAAAAATACAGACAATAATAATAATAAAATTTTTATATTTTATTTTTTTTAAAACTTTAATGTGTTTTTATTCTCTGCCTATATATTGAAATGTGTTTTTCATATCTATTTTTATATGTGATATACTTTATATAAATTATATATATAAAGTTATATTTATAAATTATTGTTGTAATATACTGTATAACAGATAACTTTATATATATTTTAAAGAAAATTTATGTTGGTAATATAAATATATAATAATAATAATAAATTTAATTTAACATTATTATTGTTAGTGATTATTACAAGTGTTAATAACCATAAATATTATGTTTATAGTGTTTGCAATTGATTACAATTTTTGTGATTTATTATTATTATTGAATTTATTTTATTAATGTTGTTATTATTGTTATTATAAAAAAATAAATAAATATTGATTATCATTATAATCATGAGTTTAATGTGAAAGTTATTAAAAATAATAATAATTTATATTAATTTTATTTTCAACAATAATGGATATAAAATATAAATAATAATAATAATAATAATAAATAGCAACTAGCAACATTAATAATGGTAAATATTATTTTTTATATTTAACATAATTATATTTTTTAATATTATTAGATTATTTTTAAAATTTTTTAGTATTTATTTATTTGATAATACTATAAATTGTTTTTTTATTTTGAAATATCCTTATCAAAAAATATTAATAATAATAATATTTGTTGTCAAAAACAATTAAAATTTAATTAATAAGATCCTAAACTTTATCTCTAAAAAAACTTAAACAAATAATAATAATAATTATTATTATTATATACAATATTTTCTAAATATGTTTATTTTTATAATTATTTTTAGTTAATATATTAAACTAATTATATTAATAATAATATCCAATTTTCAATCAACAACAACAACAATAACTAAAAAATTATGATAAAATTCATGCGTAAAAATATTTCATTGAAACTTCAAAAAAATTTTTGTAAAATTATTATTATTATTATTATGATTTTTATCGATTTTTATGTTCACCTTCTCTCTATTGATACATAAATTATATTTAAATATATGTTTTTTATGTGAAATGTATTATTTGTTTTTAAAAAAAATAATATCAATTTTGTGATTATTGTGAAATAATTTTTGTTGTTGTAAATTTTTTATTATCGCAACTAAACGCACACATAATATATACAGTATATATACTGTATATATAATAATTTTTTTTTGTTGTTGAAAAAATACATTATATATTTTACAAGTTTGAACTCAATTATAATTTGATTTTTTTCTCAAAAAAATCATTAACATATATAAAAAATATATTTTATGTTAGTTGATATCTTATAAGACAATAAACATATATATATGATATATATATATATATATATATATATATATATATATATATATATATATATGATATTACATAATAAAAATGTTTATGAATGGATGAATAAAGTATTTTATTTATTTATTTATCTATTATTTTTTATAATTAAGTTTTTTATTTTAAATACTATACTTGAATAATACTATAAATTTTTTATGATTATTATTATTATTTTGTTGGTTAATAGTAATATATATATATATATATTTGTCAAGTATTTGTGTTAAGTATTTAGTTGAAAATATAATTAATAGTGAAAGTGTTTAACCAAATAATAATAATTTTTTAAAAAAATAATAATAATAATCTATCAAAATATTTGTAAATTTTTTTATTGCTATCTTAATGTTTGCAAAAAATTTATATAATATTATTATGATTTTTCTTTAATCAAATATATTTATTTAATAATTACTTAATAATATAAATATATTATCAAAACAATCAAATCAAATGTTAAATATGTTGTTTGACATCTATATAGTATTGATTGATCGATAATTTCAATATATTATATGGATTTTTAACACAACAAACAAAAAAATTGTATCTAATTTTTTGTTGTGTATTATATAGTATACTATTAATGATTTATATCATATTATTATTATTTAATCAAATAATTTTTAAAAAATAAGATAAAATAAGATATTTTATCATTTTGTTTTTGATAATTATATTTGACATTTTTTTGAAAGTTGTATCAATTTATATTTATATATATATGTATTTGTTTTAATACAATAGTATAAGTTTTAGCTACCGTTGTTTTTTAAAAATAAAAAATCATAAATATATGTAAATTTATTTTGAGATTTTTTTTTTGTTTGATGTTAAGGTTATTATAACAGTATATGATATATATATATATAAATGTTATCATATGATATGATAAAATAATAATAAAAAAAATTAATGATATTTATATGATTTTTATATTTTACCTAAAATTAAAAAACAGTATATATAACAGTATTAGTTAGTATTAAGTATAATATATATAATAATTA